GGCTTTAAAATATTGGAAATGGAGAGCTGTTTAATACAGTATACACAACCAATAAACACGTTATCTGCTCTTTTGGACCAATCAGCACTCCAGACCATAACGCAACCAATGATTTTGTATCTGTGCAGAAGGAGTCTTTGCATGTATTGACAAAGATTTAAATACATGCATGTATAGATGAGGAAGAATAGGGACATCATATTAGTATTTTCCATAGAAAGGGTTGTAGATTTAATTATTTTGATTACATAAATAATGTGCCGAGCAAAAATCAAGTGAAAAAAACGATAAAAAAACCAGATAAAACTGTATCTGTGTATAAACTGCAGAGTCGCATATGTATAAACCGCAGAGTCGCATGCTAGGCTCCTGGTATCCAAAAATCCTATAACCAGTGCTGCACAAAAACAATCAAGTCCATGTAGCATCAAATCCAGTGTAAGGAAGTAGCGTAACGGGAGAGGCTCAGTGAACCTTTTCTACAGAGCAGGTTAACAATCCTGGCAGTTTGTCAATATGAGCTACAGAGACTGCCGCTCTGTGCCTTGAAGCTGTTCCTGCTGCTTCTGCCAGTGGTGAACCTTTTATGAAATGACAGAGCTCCCTTTCTTTTCACAACAATACATCTGCTAATGAATTATGGGTATAATCTCCAAGGTTTAAAAATCATCAGGTGTAATATTTTTTTATCTATTGCATTGTATTTAAAACTAGGAATATGTCAGCTTTGGAGGTTTGTTGGTGTGGTAGCCAACTGGAGGACATAAACATATTCTGAAGAGTATATCAAACAGAAGACTTTGATTGCTTTATGAGTGATTTCTGCCATAGTCGGTTTCTGGGTGCTGCACCAGACCATCCGGATATCCGAGTACTTGGATCTTCGATATTTAACAGTGATAATGGCTCCCCAAGGGTAAAGATTTATAATGGCAGGTTTAAAAATGCACACCAAAAATCACCTATCTACATTATAGTAAATGTAATTCATTTTTTTTGTACTGAGTTTTTCAAAAGATGTACACCCATAGAATGATGTAACGAGGTAAATAGAAGTGATTGCTGAACAGCAAAATATAGTGACCGACCATAACTGAGAATACAGTCTGCAATGAAAATTCAAAGAATGCACAATAGTTAGGAAGGAATCAGGATGGTACATTTCTGCATCAATATCTCTGTTCTCATGTGGCTAAATACATAGGGGGCTATTCATAAAGTTGCCGAAGGATCCAGCCGTAGCTTCGGCTGATCCTTCGGCTCTCTTCTGCTGCCGGAGCCCTTCGGTTGGGTCGAACCGAAGGCCTGCTGTACGGGCTATACACTATAGCCTGTACAGCAGCCGAAGACGGCAGAGCGGCTCAGCCGAGCCAAAGGGTCAGCCGAAGCGGGTCAAACGGCCTGGTGAAGGCCGGCCTTTCACCCCGCAAATGACAGCTGGCTCCGGCCAGTTTTAATGACGAATCAGCGTCGCCAAATGACCTGGGGACGCTGAACTGTCATTAAACTATAACAACTGGGCGCAGCCGGGTGTAAAGCCACAGCCGGCTCCGCCCAGTTGTTATTCATTGGCCAGGACCTGCTAGAAGACTCTGTCAAGTGCCGGCTGATAGGAGACAGTTGGGCAGAGCTAGCTGTCACTGCTAGCTCCGCCCATTTTTTTTATTCTTCCTTCTTTCTTCCTTCTTCTCACTCATTGCCGTTTGGCCCCTATAAGAATATGGGCAAACGGCAGCGAGTGAGCTTCCGGATCAGCTGTACGAGCCAGAAGTTTATAGCAGAATGTTGTTCAGCTCACTTCACTTCGGCTCGGTTACTCACTCGGCTGCCTTTGGCAGCTTTGTGAATAACCCCCATAGACGTAGAAAAAGGTTGAACGTACTCAACTGGTTTGGGGATTAACGTCTATAGAGACCTGTTAAAAGCTCGACTGAGCCGAAGTGGAGCCGAAGTTGGTGGAGATCGAAAGGAACTGGAGAGAAGAGAGCGAAAAAAAGCTACACATAATTTTCATTTGGCATATACCTAATCTCAGCAGCTTCAACTACTAGGAAGGGATATACCTCTGTGACATTTTGTTCTCCATAAATTGCAGTCTTTAACTTGGGTGTGCTTTGTTGACACGGCCTCAATGCACCATATTTGCAGGAAACTCCTCGAGACACACCCAGACTAGTGGAAAGGTTTTGTTAACATTTCAAGCAGGGCAGGATTTTTCTTATAAGTAGCTGAATTATTGTATAGAACAACCTCAGCTTGCTTGAAGTATTGTTTCCTTTTGTGTGTCTGAGGTCTGCAACTATTATGTCTGAAACCAGTTCTGTTTTTTCATTGTGCGTGTGTGTGTGTGTGTGTGTGTGTGTGTGTGTGTGTGAAAATGCAGTCCCAAGATTAGAATGTGGAATCCTGATACATTAATGAATGTTAGGATGTCAATAAAAATGTAAGTATAAGAGGAAATTCCCACTGTTTTCCTTCTTAAAGAACTCCATGGTAAATGAACTGTAGCACATGGCTTTAAAATATTGGAAATGGAGAGCTGTTTAATACAGTATACACAACCAATAAACACGTTATCTGCTCTTTTGGACCAATCAGCACTCCAGACCATAACGCAACCAATGATTTTGTATCTGTGCAGAAGGAGTCTTTGCATGTATTGACAAAGATTTAAATACATGCATGTATAGATGAGGAAGAATAGGGACATCATATTAGTATTTTCCATAGAAAGGGTTGTAGATTTAATTATTTTGATTACATAAATAATGTGCCGAGCAAAAATCAAGTGAAAAAAACGATAAAAAAACCAGATAAAACTGTATCTGTGTATAAACTGCAGAGTCGCATGCTAGGCTCTGGGTATCCAAAAATCATATAACAAGTGCTGCACAAAAGCTTTATATGGGTGGAGTTACCAACGTCATTTCTCCAGCTGAGCCGGAAGGACTGGAGGGTCCCTTACTCCTGCTTTGCACGTCCCTGATATAGATTACATAAATAGCTGAACTTTCATAGATACAAATAATTAGTTAACTTGTTTGCATATAAAATCAACTCAGCTGGCATTATAAAAAATGTCGACAACCTTAGATGCAACAAAGGATGAATAAAAATGTTAAAAATAGTATTGTGATACACCGTGCTTCAGCAATCTCGATGGCAACCCAGTTAGGGCTTAGATTTATTTTAAGAAATGCCAAGTGGACAAAGGTTTCCTGAGGTGTATTATGGAGTTTTATTGGTTGTTTGTGTGGCTCGTGGCAGTGCTTGGCAATGCCACGGAAGATGCCGGCGACACAGACACCCACGACTCTCAGCCAGAGGGGCTGAGAGGTTCCAGAATATTAATAGATTTGCAGGGAAGAAGCTGCCCTTTCAGTTTCTTCTGGTTTTTCCAGATTGTAGCTGGGATCTGGAGCTCTGGAGAATTCTTAGAGTTCTGGGTGAGATGGAATCTCCCGTCCTGAGGTCAGGTGTTGCCAGTGATCAGGTGGCTTACAGCAGCCTCACTAAGAGCCCAGGACAGAGATCAAGAGGAGGTGTTGGTGTGGTGTGGCCTGGAGGCACACGACAGTCAGGCCAGGTGTGATGTGTGTTGGAGGCACACAAGGAACAGCCTGGGAGGCTGGAAGGTTTGGAGAGCCGGAGAGAGCCAGGCACACAATGTGTGTGTGTGTGTGTGTGTTGGAATTTAAAAGCTGCTAAATGGTACAGAGTAATTCTGAAGGGTTTTTGTAAACCTGGGACTGGGACATTGTGACTGAACGGGACAACCTTGAGTTGGTGAGATCACCTGTTTGCTAAAATAGAAGCAGACTATATGTTGTGTTGCTGAAGTAAAGCTCTTTTCTGTAACGGAGAAATTACTTCTAGAGTGGTCCTTAAGCGCTCACCATATGTGCTAAATTCTCCAAATATTACAGGATAAAATCATTTTTGTTTAAAGGAATATTAATATTGCCCGTCCTCATCCCCAATCAGATAACAGTGCCTGACCTTCTGGGGTGTTCATATTAAGTTAATTCACTTGTCTTTCCATTTTTGTCCTATAGTTTGGCATATTTGCTGAGCTGGAGATAGTTGAAGGTGGCAGAATCGTGGCAGGCTTTCAAGTGCATACATTTTAAGTGAAAATTCAGAGCCAGATTTGCTGGATCACCAGCAGAGCGATCTGTACAAATATGCTTATAAACTGCTTTTGAGATGTTTACAAAAGGTACACTTATCAGTATCACCCAAGATTAATTACAAACTGGAAAAGACATAGATGTTTAACATCGATGTCGAAAATCCACCATCCCCTCACTGATCTGACTACCCGGCGCCTGTCAGCTCCGCCTCCCGCACACTGCCCACAGCTGACGGGACAAAGACCGAGCACCTTCACCCACAGCCGCAGATGCAGCGTGCCTAGTCTGCACTCGATATTGTTTGGTTCCCCTTGGTTATCCCCCACACTGCTCGGAGCCCACACAGATGATCCTGATCCTCTGCACAGGCCGCCCATCTTAGACCTTTATTTTCTTTTGAATGTTTTTCAAAATTGTTTGTTAAAATTGAGTGTTTTAGTGTGGCAATGTTGTGGTTTTGTAAGACAAGAAAATGTTTTCTTTTCACATGTTAGGGGATGTAAATATTGAGAAACCTTTTTATAGTTTTTTTTTTTGTACACTTGAAAGGTTAGGTATTCAGAAGTGTATTCCTAGTCTTAGACTGGCAAGATGAAGAGGTTTTGCCTGTCATTTTGGATGTTTTTGGACCACTTCAGCACAAATTTGGGAAATAGTAGTATACTGCAAAAGAATCTGGTAGACACATTCCCTAGATGATGATACAAATCAATCAGGCAGATCTATATTTCATATGTTGGTGTGAATTTATGACTCTAAATGCGTTTTAACATCAAATTGTATAACAATACTACAGTAGATAACAAAAACTAACCATTACAACTGTCCTAAATATAAAGACTGAACACAATGATTTGTCTTTCTTAGGGTGCTGTACATTGGCCTTGCTTGCAATACCGCCCGTTATCTCTATATTAGCTACATGGAAAATGCCTGGACAGTGCTCCCTATGGAAGTATTACAGGGTAAGTACGGTTTTCTGACTTTTTATGGTATGTATGTGACATATGGAACTATGCAGTATGTGTGTTTGTGCGTTTGAAAATAATAGAGTATATTTTTCAAAACACCTCTAGCCAAAACCTATCAATTTAATTTTAGGTAGCATATGATGAGGGCAATCTTTTTTGTCATTGCATACATTTGTGAAGAAGGAATTACTTTTTGCTCTCATGGTTCCCTCCCCCTTAATACACATGTAGATGCTACCTGTATTTCAGGCTTGCCCGCTCATAGGAATTGTGTAATGTTTTTGTGTTTTATTTTTAATACTCCACATAATAAATTTGTATTTAAAAATAGATAAGCTTTTTATTTCCGTTTTGTCAGGTACTGTAAGTATGAACTATTACATACTTACCTTTTTAACATGCAGCTGGTGGTGAGTTGTAAGCAGCAGAAGTAGCTTTCCTCAATGTTATTCTGAAGCAGTATTAAAAATACACCTAAAGAGTAGGAGCCCAACATGTACCCTGCTATGATGCTCTCTGTATTAAATGTATGTTTGTAAAATCAATAAAACTAATATAAAACATCAATTGTATCAACTTTTAAAATGTACAAAAAAAATAATTGCACTTGCATTTTAAAGCAAACCTTTGGGCTCACTTTTTTTCTGATTTAGATCCATATAAAAACCCTCTCCAGGTTCTTTTTTTACAGGTTTAGATTATCTTCCGCAAACTACAGTCAAAACTAGGTTAAAAGTGACACTACATTCAGGTGTTAAATCTTAAAAATGCATTTAAGTACCTTTTAGCTATTAACAAAAATGTATCTTTTTTTTTTTGTGTATCACTCGGCTATAGATTCTTAAATCGACTCTGAATTCATGCTGACACTGTCCTTCCTTCTGGAGGGTGGCTACTTTTGTTCCCCATGATCCCTGTGTGTGTTGTAAAGTAGTCACTGCTCCAAGCTCATATGGACTACAATCTCACGTTTAATTTACTAATTTGTATTGAATATATGACTATCACAGGAGCGAGTTTGGAGTGGTGGCTACTTTACAACACACACAGGGACCACGTGGAACAAAACTGCAATATTGAAAACATTCGAGCTACCGGTTTGTCTACACCCACGTTACATGATTATGACCATAACAATTAGAGACATTAACTTCCATAAACTGTCCATATAATAAACATTTTGTGTTGGTGCTGTTTTACTTCTCTACCCTTACTGTACTGTCCAAGACGCTGTGCTATGATAAATATGGCCGACGTGTCCGTTTGCACCCAGTTACCTCTGAGTCAGTTCAGGTTGGAAAAAACAGTTTTTTGTGTCCTCTAATTTTTTTCAGACCTAAACATAATTGATTAGAGGTAATTGGATGTAAATGGACACGTCTACTCACATCTGGCGGCGGTTTTTCTGTAGTAGTAGTTCAGTTCTTGTGATGAAGGAAAAAAACTGAACAGCCAAGGACGTCACAAATCTGACATCTGTTCCATATTGCTCCGATCATAAGGGGATCTGTGTAGGGATCCCTTGCTGATTAGAGAATACAGTTGTCGATGTGAAAGGGGCTTCAGGCCCCATAAATCCTCCCTTAAACCAACCAACTTTTCTACATGCTGCCTCTTCCATGTGCATATTTAACACCATTAACACGCATACTCTGACATTCTCACACAGACATAAATTTGTCAATCAATCCATATGTTCATTGTCTGTGAAGGTTCTCATTCATCCAGGTATTCATCGTGGTATACCTGTAAAAAATAAGTCAAGGCAACTGGACTGGCTGTATTTTTCTTGAAGACGTTTTACTGGCCATCCGACCAGCTTTCTCAATTCAGAATGGTGGGCTGGTAGTAAGGCTACAAGGGAGCTCGATCTGGCCATCAGAATTGAGAAAGCTGGTCGGATGGCCAGTAAAACGTCTTCAAGAAAAATACAGCCAGTCCAGTTGCCTTGACTTATTTTTTACAGGCATATGCTCATTGCTTTAACAGCTCTCTGTAAAGATGCTGCGAGCCAGAATGTGACGGCACTCCAGTCCAGATACCTCTACAGAGCGTGCAAGGAAGCTGTAAGCAATGCACATATGGATCGAGCTCCCTTGTGGCCTTACTACCAGCCCACCTCAAGCCGGGCAGCATATTTTAAATGGCTGTTCGGCATGAGAACTGACAGTGCTATCCTAGGGGGAACCGAGGAGCCTCTCACCTAGAGCAATGGAAGGCATGCAGCAACCCACTAAACACAGGGTTGTGACCCACTTTTGTGACGTGACCCACCAGTTAAGAACCATCCTCGCATTCATAGTGGCCGCGGTAAATGGGCTATTGTTACTACAGTAAATGCATGACCTACAGTGTATACAAATCAGTTGTGTGATTCAGCTCCCGATATCCATGAAAACTGTGTTTCTTTACCGTTTGAGAGCACAGTATTACTTGGCTGTACTGATGTCACATAAAAATAAAATAACATGACATTTACAGAGAATCTGAGAACATCATCTAGTTTGTGAAATGGACCCTAATGGTTATCACTCACATGACTGATTTGGCAGTTTTATCTGTGTGAAGATAACACAAATACTCAAATGAGTAGTTTAGAGGGCTTTTCTTTCCTTTTAACCTTTGGACTGCAGAAATTTTTGTAACATATGGACCTAGTCATAAATGGGACTAAGGCTCTATTCACATTTAGTGTTTGCGTTTCCCGTGTTGTTTTCTGTGTGGAAGACCGAAACACTAAAATCTTTACATCTGCACGGATTCCGCTTGTTTGCGGCTGTTGCTTTAGCCACAGACGTGCGTAATCCACCCCTGAAATCACGCTTGGACTATTTTGGGGGATCGCATGGTTTTGTACACGGCGGTCCCGGCAATAGTCTGAACAATGCACATTAAAATGCATTGTTTCTTATGACTAGAGCGGTTCTGCAGGTATCCGTACAGCCGAATACACATGGAAAACCGCTCATGTGTGAATGAAGCCTGATGACTGATGCAATTTAACATCAGTGGGCCCTTCTTTATAGCCCTTCACTAGTATTGTCCACTACTGTTACTACTAGCTGCTCGTGTGCGCTGTTATTGTTTTATGTTCAAGTTGTATGGAATGTGACAAAGTGACTTCTACCTTTTTTAGATGTTTTGTTGCAGCAGACAACATAGCAGATTCCAGGTTTTTCTGAGCACCTTCCCAGTGATCTGTCCTAATGGAAAGGCTAAGGACCGAAATTTCAGGTTTTTTCTCATTAACTCATTAACATTTGAATGCGGAAGCCAGGGCTGTACTCCTTTTTTTAACCTCTCACCCCTCACAGCCCCTCCTAACATTACAGTAAGGAGAAGAAAGTAGAACCTTGAGAAGCCAATCAATCCAAACCCAACTAACAACCATTTAAACTGCAAGAAGCATTTTTTAAATATTTGTGTTAGCTTATGCTATGTGATTAGGAACATGTAACAAATTTAAAATAGGTGTTATCCCAGCTTGGCAGTTTGGAGATTGTGTACTGATCTCCCTCTGATCCCCTGTCACAGAGCCGCCGTGCCAGTCCCTGGCCCACACCAGCCACAGCGGGGCCTGGGACCAGCCTTGTGGAGGGGGGACCCATCAACTGGCACCTCAGACAAGTGATCCGGTGGCTCTACAGCCGTCAACCGCTTGTATGTAACCAGGCATCGTTGCCTGTCTTAAATTCTGACCGTTTCCCGCTCGTGGGCGGGGCTAACAGGACATTTTTAAAAACCCTGTTACATTCAAGAAGCTCCCGGCTGGCCATTTAATTACAGCAGCCGGCCGGAAAGTGGGTAAAGCCCAGCTGCCGCATATGTGTTGCTGTGTTGTTCCGAGGCTCACTCTATTGGTGATGCTGGGGCCACCTCTATCTCATCACTGTGCAGCCAATCACAATTAATGAATGGCAGCCCCTCCTACCAGTCTCTAGCATAAGGGCCAGTTTAAAAGGTCGGCTTCTGTTGGCGGCAAGGAGTTAATAAAGATTTTAAACATACTCTGTATTTGTCAGCATGAAAACTTTCTAGAAAAGTACATAGCAGCACTGATGCTTTTATGACAATATTTTGTCAAGGCAAATGTGTCACTGGAGTGTGACTCACTGTGTGCACAGTGAGCTAACCACAAAACAGTCAGAAGGCTATACTGATAGGATCAAAAAGTGTCTGCTGCCTGGCCCTTAAATAGACCTGTGAACAATTATGTTAAAAAATGTTATTTCCTGTATGTGTTTGTTTGTATATGTGTGTGACAGATAATAGATGTATATAGATTGTGTGTGTGTGTGTGTGTGTGTGTGTGTGTGTGTGTGTGTCTGTGTAGTTACATAGTGAGTCAGGTTGAAAAAAAACACAAGTACATAGAGTTCAACCTATAGAGATTAGAGTGGAAACATTTTTTAAATATTTTTTTGTGTGTATATAGATAGAGATATATACAGACACATATCTATCTCAAGTAATGTTCATATATTATAAAGAGACTTATACATTTATTGTACAAAGGTTGCACATGTTTCCCTTGAATACTACTGAAACCAGGCAAAAGCAATGACTGGTAAGTGGTTAGACATTAATGTATTAATGAATGATTTTTTTTGTATGTATGGTGGTTTTGCTTTTGTTGTTCAGTGATATTGATTTGATCCCCACTATAAAGACAGAAAAATTCACAGATTACATAATCTCCTACAGTATTCGATGTAGTTAAACTGTGCCCAGTAATGACTTGTGTAAGTGTTAATGTTTCACTATCACAGTAAGATGATTTTAATATTTTTCTCTATAACCGTCTTGACCGCTGTACTATAAATGTAATTCATTCAGACCTTGCACTTGAGACGATATCATCCACATCTTCATACTGGTAAAATCTAACAAGCTCAGAATGGTTCTGCGTAATTTGAATTTCCAGTGGTAAATATTAGACTGCAGCTGCACAAATAAACCTGTGCTTATGGACACAGAGTTTGAAAGTTGGCATAGATAGTCATTTGTGCACTATTTGCATGTTGTTGCTTGTATATTTATTTTTGCATATTATTGCACACATTTTTCATAAGGGTACGTCAGTGTGCTAAGAAATAGGGCACTGGGCTGAATAAGAGAATCCTCTATGCATGGCCAGCTTTAGCCTTACACTAACCAGGATAAAAAAATAAAATGAGGGGTGCATGCACATGAATGCCACAAGGAAATACTTTGCCTATGTTCCTATAGCACGGGGGTAGCCAAACTTCAGCCTTTCAGCTGTGAAATTACAAATCCCATAATCCCTCTGCCCCTGGGCTTGTGGCTGTCAGTCCCACAATGCCTCATTGGGCTTGTTTTACAACAGCTGGAGAGCCGAAGTTTGGCCACCCCTGCTATAGCTGCGTTGCAATGGAAAGGCGGTGGTGTGAGCTGAAAATAAGTGCAGCATGCTGCACATTTTTCTTAGCCGAGCAGGATGTGACGTGGAACAACTGCCTTGCACCCCACTGTGCCTGTAGAACTGAATGAAATGTCACATGTTCTACCAAAAAAAAGTACACAGTGCGATGTGCCAGGACCTGCGCATTGCCACTGCGTCAGACAACGCACACCAGCCGCTGTGTGCTTTGCGGTACATCAGCAAATCAAAAGTACATTGTATGCAAATATATCTCTCTCTTACGATGGCCCTTTCTGAGTATAATGTGATTCTTTTTCTTTCCAGGTGTGACCCATGCAGCCATATGGGCTGCCTGCATTTCATATCTCAGTGCTGCAGTTCCCCCGGCACTGCGGACGTCTGCTCAGGGAATTCTGCAGGGCCTCCATCTTGGACTTGGTAGAGGTTGTGGTGCCATGATTGGTGGTGTCTTGGTGAATTTTTTTGGTAAGTTACAAGATTTCTTAAAGTTGGTATCTTCATTGTGTGTGATTTGGTCTAAAATAGTACTGTGAAAATATTTAGGTAAGGAGAGCAGAGCTTTTAGTTTTTTCTACACCTATACCTAAACCTCTACCCTTGTGTCATTTACTTCTGTTACTTGCACAGGCTGTAAAACAAGCCATTTTACCAACGGCATTGGCAGCTCCTTCCTGTCACTTACTTCATACTATCCATGTTTCCCTTCTATGATTAACCAATGCATGTCGCATACTGGAGGTGTCTTAAAGATTTCTTATATGAATGGTAACATCCTTAATTGTATTTTGTAGTGAAACTGGACCTTCCTGCAATAACTGTCTATTTTTATTTTTTTTTAAACATGATAAATGATTAAATCAACCCCTAAAAATCCCATTTTAACGCCTGATCCCAATTTTGCAACTGTGTGTGTTCTTAAAATCGAGCAAGTCTTTTCATACTGGGCCTTCATTTGGTGGTGAAAGTTAATGGATAATTCCCTAATAAATATAAATATATATATATACACACACATATACACAGGGCTGGAAAAATTTGATAGTGTCTCACCAGTCAGTCAAAAATGTCACCAGTCAGCATGACCAGACTATAGCCTTGCAATTTATGTTAAAAAAGTTTGGAGACAGATAGAGCTTTCTTTTGGAGGTATATAATCACCACGGGGGGTATTTTTTTTTTACTATATAATTAAAAAAGTACCATAAATGTAAAAAAAAACAAAAAAGTTTCCCTATGTTATGTTATAAAACATTTATTCTTACCCATATTTTTAGTAAAACATAAAAGTCAGGGTCACGTCGGGTAAATAGACACCAAACATGTCAAGCCTTAAA